ATTAAAATGAAATAACACTACACAACTTAACAGAATGGGTGAGAATACCAAATTCTGAGAAGAACTTGGAGCAATGACAATCCTCATTCACTGCTAATAATAGTGAAGAATAGTACAGCAATTTGAAAGTTTCTTTCAAAACTAAATACAGACTTACCTTATGACCCAGCTATTTCACTTTTGGTATTTATCCAAATAAATTGAAAACATATGTTCACACAAAAACCTGCACGTGAACTTTATGGCAGATTTCTTCATAACTGACAAAACTCAGAAGCCACCAAGATGTCCTTCAATAAGTGAATGGATAAATAAATTTTGGTACATCCAGATAATGTAATATTATTCAGTGCTAAAGAGAAATGAGCTAGTAAATCATGAAAAGACCTAAGTAACCAAATATGTATGCTGCTTAATGAAAAAGTTAATCTGAAAAGGATACTCACTACCTGATTCTTCTAAATGACATTCTGGAAAAGCCAACACATAGGGACAGTAAAAAGGTCAGGGCATGCCAGGTGTTCAGGTTGAAGAAAGGGATGGGAGATGAGTAGATGGAGCACAGGGGATATATAGGCAGTAAAACTATTCTGTGTTATGCTGAGTGCTACTATAAAAGTAGATACATGTCATTACTCATCTGTGAACAAAACAAAGCAAAACAAACAACCTTAATATATTACTATATATTAAGTATTATATATTACTATATTCACTAGAGAAGAACCAGAGAAATATGTTTTCATGAGAAATTGCTTGTTGGTTAATGCAGATATGCACAATGACTTTTCTAGCTTCCTATCATTGTATCATGTTTTACTGCTGCTTACCTGAAGTGGTTATGTGTGAAACACGCTTGGTCAGATCAGAGATGTGAGGGTGTGAGATGAGAAAAAGCATGTTACCTTAGCTGCTGGGCTGCTCACTTGCTCAGCTACTCTGTCACCATGTCTTATCACACTGAGCCTTGAACACATCTGCTCAGCCTGCTCATTGTCATTATAATTATGGGCAGATACTTCTACCCACATAATCCTTGCAAAGATACAATCCTTGCTTCCAATTTTTCAATTTGATTGTATCAATTTTCTATTGCTATAAAACAAATTATCAAAAACTTGGCACCTAACACAAATGTATTATCGCATAGTTCCCATGGGACAGAAACCTGGATGTGGGTTAGTGGGGTTCTTTGCTCAACGCTGAAATTAAGGTGGGGCTGCAATCTGAATGGAGGCTCAGGGTACAATTCCAAGCCAATGGTGGCTAGCAGAATTCATTTTCTTGTGGCTATAGGATGGAAGCCCTTAGTTCTGAGCGGTTATAGAAACCATTCCTTGCTATGTGGCCATTTTCACAACATGGCATTTTGCCATCTATCTCTCCAACTTCAGTAAAGGCCCATCCTTTTTTTTTTTTTTTTCTTGGCAGTACTGGGGTTTGAACTCAGGGCCTCATGCTTGCTAGCCAGGTGCTAGCAAGAACCACTTGAGCCACTCTTCCAGCCCTTTTTTGTGTTAAGTATTTTTGAGATAGGGTCTGGCAAACTATTTGCCTAGGGCTGGGCTCCAACCACGATCCTCCTGATCTCTGCCTCCCAAGTAGCTAGGATTACAGGTATAAGCCACCAGCACTAAGCAGGTTCAGTCCCTTTTAAAGTCTTGCCTGATTAGGATGGGCCTACCTGAATAATCTTTGAGACCTTCATTATATCATCTATAACATCCTTCATTTGCTATATAATATAGCATAGATGCAGGAGTGAAATCCACCAAAGTTCCTGACGTTCAAGTTAAGGTGATTACACAAGGCATAAATAAGAGTGGGCTGAGAATCTTGGGGCCATCTCAGAATTCTGCTTATCACATGGTGAATTAATCCTGATGAAATTAATGTTGTCAGATTAATCCTCCTTAATCAGGCCAATCATCATACTGCCCTTCTTTTAAAATAATTTTCAATAGTTCCCCAAAACACATAAAATGAATTCTAAATTCATAATTCAAGGCCCTTCTCAACTTGCCCCAGGTGACATATAGATCTTAACTCTCACTGGCCCTCCTCTATCAGTCCTCGGTCACAGGGCCCCTTTGCTCTGCTTATCCCATGCCCTCTGTATCCTTTGTGGCCACATTTGTTCTTGCTTCCTCCTTCTTACTTAAAGCCTACCTAGCCTTCAAGATGCTGCACTGAACTTTGTACAAATCTTTTCTGACTTGAATTTCTTGCCTTTTCTTCACTTCTTCAAACACTATGGTGGAGCATAAATTTATCCCTGTGTGCATATCCTTTTGCAATGCAACTTTGTCACTCAGCCCAAAACATGGACTGAGTATCTCTACTCCTTGACTCTGGGCCAGACCATGTGACTTTCTTTATCCAGGGGAACATTAGCAAACATGATGCCAGAAGACACTTAAAAAGCACTTCTGTAGGGATGGGAGTGCAATTCAGTGGCAGAGCATTTGCTAGCATATGCAAGGACCTAGGATGGAACCCCAGTATTGTAAAACAAAATAAAATAAAACAAAACCAAAAAAAGCACTTGTGTGCTGGGGCTTGCACTCTTGCTGTCTTGGTAACCCTGCATAGGGTGCCAAATCATCCCTATGGCCCCAAATGACACTGGGCCAATCACCTATCACATGAAAAATAACAAATGTTAGTGTTTTAAGTCATGGAACATTTTATCAACTTTTGTAGCAAATTACTTACTGTTTAAGAATAAACAGATTCAAAGAAGTCCTTTTTAGTACCAAATTTACTCAGTTTCATTCTAGTAGCTTGTGTTGAAGAAATTGTATACAAATTACAGCTTATTTTTTTTTCAGTCCTGGAGTTTAAACTCAGGGCCTCCACCTTGAGCCACTCCACCAGCCCTTTTATGTGAAGAGTTTTTTTTGAGATAGAGTCTCATGAACTATTTGCCTGGGCTGGCTTTGAAATGCAATCCTCCTGATCTCTGCCTCCTAGGATGTAGCTAGGATTATAGGCAAGAGCCACCAGCACCTGGCCACGGTCTGGTGTTTAGTATCTGGAAGCTCTCTGTGGGAGTTAGTCATGAAGCTTATGCCATGACTTTTAAAGGTATAAACAGCCCAAAGTATCTGTCAATAGAGGAATGGACAAATGAAATATAGTATATCCATATTGGAATGTTATTCAACCATAAAAAGGAATGAGGTTCTGGTATATATTATGACATGGAGGAACCTTGAAGAAATTATGCTAACTGAAATAAGCCAGACATAAAGGGACAAATATTATATGATTTCACTTATAAAAAATATTTAGAGTAAGTAAATTCATAGAGCAGTAGGTCTGTGCTTATTAGGGACTTGCATGACAATTACACAACATTGCGAATGCAATTAATGCCACAGAACTGCATAATTAAAGACAGAAAGTTTTATGTCATATTTATTTTACTATAGTATTTGAAATTAATGTAACATACTCATATTTCTTGTACAAATTTTATACTGTAATATATCTTAATAAAGCTATTAAAAATTAAAATACAACAAAGAAAAAACACCAAAAATACTTGTTTCATTTCTTTCCTTAGAGTTTTCCTTCACTGCCAGGAAACTCAAAACTAAGTTTTAAGTTCAAACATAGCAACTCAGCTGGTACACAGATGTGCTAAAAATCACTGTTTTCATCACTATCATCAAATCAGAGGATCCAGATTTCTGTTCATATCTTTCTGTGTTTCCTTCACTCATCATCTTTGCTAACTAAAATTCATTCAAGTGATCTTTCTCCAGGCCCCAACAGACCCTGCCATGGTTAATATTGATGGTCAACTTAATTGGATTGTGAAGCACCTAGGAGATTAGTAAAGCACATTTTTGCATGTGTCCATGAGGGTGTTTCTAGAAAGGACTAAGTAAGGGGGGAAGATATTCCCTGAATGTAGGCAGTACCGTAACATAGGCTGGGGCCTGGATGGAATGAAAGGCAAAAAAGGAGAAAGCCAATTAACTCAGGCATTTTCTCTCTCTCCTTCTTGTCTACCTTGAGGTGAAAAGCTTCTGCCACATGCTCCCGCTGCCATGATGTTCTGACTCACCACAGGCACAAAATCAACAATCAAGGACTGTGGAAAGAAATCTCTGAAACATCAAGCTAAAATAAATAGTTTTCTCCTTTAAGTTGTTCTGTCAGGTATTTTGGTCACAGCTTTGGAAAGCTAACTAACATAGACTTTAAAGTAAACTGAGAGGCTAAACCTCTGAGGTTATGGTATTAATTCTGCAAATATGACACTATAGTAACCCTCAAAAAAAAGGAGAAGAGCTCATCCTAAACATCAAATTAAAAGAATGAAGGGCCTCAAAAGCAGTGAGGAACAAGGTAACCAGCATCATTTAAAAATACCTTCAGTCTACTTCTGGAGAGTGCTTTCACCACACAAAATCAAAAGGCTCAAATCTGATAACCCAGGCACAGATACAACCATCGTTGACTGACCTTTTCATTCTAGGGATGCCTTATTTACAGAAATATTCAAAAATTCACCAAATAGCCATGTTTTCCCATAAACATTTAAAAACCACACTCCAAAATTCCAAGGAGCCAGCCCTGGATTAATTTTTTAAAAAGCCTGAAGATAGGGGTGGACGGGGGTGACTTATGAGTTAACAAGGGATTAATTAGATATAATTATAAACTGCCAATCACCACAATTCAATGATACTCAGACTTTTAAAAGCTATTCCAATACTCTGGTTTCTCTTTAGATCGTATAAATCTTTTGCCTTTTAAAAGCTATTCCATTACAAGGAGGGGCACAGAGGAAAAAAAGGAGGAGCGATGGGGTGCAAGAAGAGGAGGGAAAGAAAAATAAAAGAAAATTAGATCTTTTCTAAAAGGCTACTTATAAGACTTAAGAAACTTACACATTCATGGCCAAGTGCTCAATAATATTTCCCAGTGAAATGATCTCTAAAATTTTATAAATAAAAAAGAACAGTTTAAAAAAAAGAATGACTTACTGTCTTATTGGTGAGTTCATGGAAGATTCCTTTTTTGAATCAGGAGAACTTACAGCTTGAAAAATACAATTTTTTTTTCCAGTGGACAGGGCATCTCTTTCTTGCTCAGTGTGGATTAATCTAAAGGCCTCTATTCTTTCTCCCTCCATCTTGTCACCTGGATTCAGCCGTGGTTCTGGACTTTCTAAAATCAGATCATCTTCACTTACAGAGACTGTGAGGTCACTGCTGCTGCACAAACTTTCCTCCTCTTCTTCTTCCTGCATCTTTATGAAAGGTCTTTGTGACTTTGGATCCCCATGGGCAAGATGATCTAAAAGTGGGAATATGAACATATTACTGACCATTAATTGGATGGAGAATTGAGGTAACAGAGCAAAATTACTCATCAATTAAAAACATGTACAAAAAATTTACAACCTGTTATAGTACTTAAAAACTCAAATATATCTTTAAAAATTTTCTAAATTTCCTTTAATTTTTAATTACTGCTGAGCTATACCACGAGTTTTCAAAAATTTTTTTTAAATATGTAAGTGTTTTTGAAGTACTAGGAATTTGAACTCAAGGCTTCACACTTGCTACATACTCTACCCCTTGAGTCAGGCCTTTAGCCCTTAAAATAATTTTTAAAAAATCATAGTGATTTTTTAAAACTCAGTGACTTAACTTTCAAAGATATTTGTACATACACATTGAAGAACTTCTTAGAGTTGAATTAATTAACAAAGTCTCTATTTTGGATTTTGGCAGAGATAAAATTTGATTATATTCTGTTCTTATATAAGATCATTATCACCCAAAGAAACTAAACACTAACAAAAATCAGCAATCAAACTCAGCCTATCAACCCACCTGAGAAACCTTCCCAGGCAGAATGCTTCTCTTGAGACCACTTATTTTCAGATGCACAGTGTTCTGAAACTGATACCGCAGAGACTGGCGGGCTGGCTCGCTCTTCCTCAACCTCAATATGTTCTTGTGTCAGTACTTCTCCCTCTGATCCCTCTGATCTGCTGAAACTGTCACACCTTAAATCAGTGGTTCTGTTTTCTGGGCTTAATCTTTCCTGTAACGAGGAATGAAGTTCAGCAGACTTTTTGCCTTCAGATAAATTACTCTTGCTGTGACGTGTGTTGTTTCCTATCTCCAAGCAATGAGTTTGTTCCTCCTCAGACAACACACTGGCTGTGACTGGCATTTTCTCACCAGTCTGAAGAGATGTCTTTCCATCTATTTTGTCAGTCTTATTTAAGCACTGTGTGTCACTATTAGTTTGTACTACACAGCTGTCTGTCACATTACTGCTCTGGGCTGTCTGTTGGTGTGAATGTGGGTCAGGAATTGAAAAGTTCTTTGTGGGCTGGGGAGATTTCTGCTCTGTACTGAAATCGCCAATGCTTGAGATGGCTGACATTGGGTGACCCATAAAGATCGTTGCTGGTTGATACAATCCTCTTGACATAGCTGTCCCCAAACTGATTCCTGCTTGCACTGCAACCTGCAAAAGGAGACAGGAGTTAAACAATTAGGTTGTTTTCAGAAATGAAAGGAGTTAAAGGAACTATAGCCATCAGTACCTACATGTTTAATAAAAGTCATGACTTTTTACTTAACAAATGAGCAAAAAATAGTAGGGTCCATACTATATACATGTACTTAATGCAACTCAGGTGCATGATTAAAATAAAATCAAACTAGTAGTTATGTTATGCATATGCAATAAAAAAAAGCCCCCTAGGCATTTAGTCCATCTTCTCTCTCCATCTTGTCACCTGAATTTGATTGTGGTTCTCAAGTTTGAGGCTAGCCTCAACTAGATCTTATCTCAAAAAACCAAGAAAAAAACCTTTCAATAATCACCTTCCGGATAGTATTAAAATAGATGGCATCATGTATAAAATATTAATAATTTGTAACCAAACCGTAAATAACATCAGTTTTTCCTGAACATCCTCAAGGAAATTTAAAGCAATTTAAATTTACTGGCACATCTATAGGAAAAATTTATATGGTCTTGCACAGAAAGAGAGGGAATGAAGAAAGAATGAGAGACAGAGAGAAGCAACTGGTTCAATGGCTTGAACGAGGGTACATGATGGGAAGCAGAACTAGAAGTAATAAGTATGAAGTCTTCAGAAAGTTAAATGCTTTTCTTCCAAAGGGACCAAAACACTTCCATAGATATAACATATAACAGCATTTATTTCATAGAGATATAGAGTATACAGGGAGCTGTAAGATGTATTTTCACCCCTCCTCTGCAGATGGAAAATATGAGACCCAAATTTTAAGAGAGAAAATGTCATATGCACAGCTGAAACAGAATCTAAATCTTGCTTCTCTTCAAAAACTCCTCTTCTGTTCCTGAAATTTAAAAAAAAAAGACAACTTTGAAGTCAACAAATGACCAGAGATGCCATAGAAAGTGGTAGAATAAGGACCTTTGATAATTCTCTTGTTCCACAAAAGAAATAACACTGAAAAAAATTTCAGAATAACTTTTCAGACCCGTGGAAACTAACCAGGCTTAAGGCAATCTGGGAAGCATTTTTATTTAAGAGAAACATCTGAATTTTATTTTATCTTATTTTGGTGGTACTGGGGTTTGAACTCAGGGCTTCACACTTGCTGGCAGGCGCTTTCTCACTTGAGACACTTTGCCAGCCCATGAATCTTGATGAGAACAGTGAGCTTCATGGTGTTTTAATGTACCTTATTCTTCTCCACTCCCACACACATACTTGCCAGGTGGGGAGTGAGCTTAAAAACCTGTACTAACAGTGAACAAGCTGCCTGTTAGCCTCTGGAAGAGGGAGAACAGGGATCAAATTCCTATAAGGAAGGAAACTCTACATTTGAAAAGTATAATCACTGGAGTGAAAAACCAACTGGAGGGGCTACACAGCAGATTTGAATAGGAAGAAAAAAAGAGTTAGCAATCCTGAATATAGGTCCATTGAGATTATCCAATCTGAGGAAAAGAAAGGAAAAAGAAAAATAAGCAGAATCTCAGAGACCTGTGGGACACCATCAAGTATACCAAATGCAAATAATGAAAATCCCAGAAAGAATGTAGAGAGAGAAATGGACCAAAAAAGTTTTGAAGAAATAACAGAAAAAATAGCAGGGGAGCTCAACAAAGTCCAGTAGAATAAATTTAAAAAGATCCATATCCAGACATTAATTTCAAATAGAAAACTAAATCCAAAGCAGACAGAAGGAAGATTAGAGCAGAAACAAACAAGTTAGATAACAGAAACACATAGAGAAATCAATGATACCAAAAGGTGATTCTGTGAAAAGATGAACAAACTGACAGGCAATCCCTTCGATAGACTCATCAAGTAAAAAGAGGGAAGACTCGAATAGCTAAAATTACAAATGCAAGTGGGTATTTTGTTACTGACCAAAAAGGTACAATCAAAGTTGACCCAAGAACTAGAAAATCTGGCTGCATGCATTGACTCACGCCTGTAATCCCAGCAACAAGGAAATCACAAGGATCGCAGCTTGAGTCCAGCCTGCAGAAAAAGTCAGCAAGATCTCATCTCAACAAATAAGCTGGGTGTACTAGTATATACTTGCAATCTTAGCTACTCAAGAGGCATAGGTAGGATGATTGTGGTCCAAGGCAATCCAGGGGGAAAATATCTGAAAAATAACATAAAGCAAAAAGAGCTCAAGTGTACAGTGCTTGTCTAGAAAACACGAAGCCCTGAATTCAAATTCCAGCACTGCCAGAAAAAAAGGTAGGAAATCTGAATAAACCTATATGAAGGTAAGTGATTTAATTAGAAATAAAAAACTTTCCACAAAGTCAAGTCCAGAACTAGAAGGCTTCACTTGTGAGTTCTACCACTTATTTGAAGAAGGATTAATGCCAACCTTCATAAACTCTTCCAAAAATAGGAGAAGAAGAAATATTCCTTACTGATACTATGAATTTGGTTTTTCACACCAAACACAAATAAAAGACATCACAAGAATGATGTCTTTCATCATTCCACTACTTTTTATGCATATAGATGAAAAATTCCCAGTGAAAACATAGCAAACTGAATCAAACAACACATAAAAGGATTATATACCATTACTAAATACTCAGAATTTATGCAATGTTGAATCAACATATAAAAATGTTTTTAGTGGCACACACCTGTAATCCCAGCACTTGGGAGACTAACGTAAGAGGATCATGAATTCAAGGCCTGCCTGGGCTACATAGTCAGATCCTGTCTCAAAAAAAAAAAATTTTTATATTGATTCAACATAAAAGTCAATTAGCTCCACAATGTATCAAAAAATCATATTGTACATGGCATATACATATAATTTTATCTGTCAATGTAAAACAATAATGAAATGAAGTAAATCTGGTGGCAAAGTAGAAAAAATTCTCAAATAAAATCAATTAATGCAATATGCCATATTAAGAATAAAAAAACCTCATATGATTACTTCTATATAGCATTTGACAAAATCCAATACTCAAAAACTAAGTTTTTATCAACCTATAAAGTACATCTATGAAAAACCTGCTAACATAAATCAATGGTGAAACATAGAATACTTTCTCCCTAAGATCAAAGTTAATAAAAGAATGTCTATTCTCCTAACTTTCATCATCTTCTATCAATGTACTGCAGACCCAAGCAAGGGCAGACAGCAGAAACAATATTGTGAAAATGGCTATACTACTAAAAGCAATCTATATGTTCAATGCAAACCCCATCAAAATTCCAATGACATCCTTCACAGAAGAATCCTGAAGTTCATATGAAAGCACAAAAGACCTTGGATAGCCAAAGCAATCCTGAGCAAAAAGAGCAACACTGCAGATATCACAATACCTTACTTCAATCTATGCTACAGAGCCATAGTGATAAAAACAGCAGGGAACTGGTACAAATGCAGACACGAGGACCAATGGAACAGAACAGAAGATCCAGACACAAACCCATGCAGCAATAACCATTTGATTTTTGACAAAGGAGCCCAAAAAAGGAGCCAGGATACAACAGAGCCACTTGCATACCCATGTTTATTGCAGCAGTATTCACAATAACCAACCTTTGAAAACATCCCAGCTGCCCTACAACTGATATACAGATTTCTTAAATGTGATATCTATCTATCCACACACAATGGAGTATTATTTAGCAATAAAGAAGAATGAAATTCTGTTGTTTGCAGGCAAATGGATAGAACTGGAAACCACAGTGTTAGGTGAAGGAAGCCAGGCTCAGAAGGATAAAAGTCATGTGTTTACCCTCACATGTGGCAGCTAAACCTAAAAGATAAATATATGCATAAATGCATATGTGATCTTATATATAAAGAGAGAAAAAGATGTCTGTGTGTGTTTGTGTGTGTGTGCATGTGTGTGTGTGTGTGTGTGTGTGTGTGTGTGTGTGTGAGAGAGAGAGAGAGAGAGAGAGAACATGATTTTAATAGTGGGTCTGTCTGAGGGGATGAAGGGGAGGGCAGGAGAGGAAAAGAGAGTGAATAATATCAAAATAAATTGCATCTGTGTATGAAGATGATATAACAAAGTGCACTGAAAGCTGCTGAATAATAGGGAAGCACAGTGATAAAGAAAGAGTAATAAAAGGGGTTAATCTGATTAAAGTACAATATATGCTTGCATGAAATACCATAATTAAACTCCCTGAACCATCAATATGTGCTTTAAAAAATGAACAAGGTAAAACAGTCACTGTCTAGCTATAGGGTCCAGTGGGAGGGGGGAGTGTAAATGGGGAGGGTTAATATTGTCGATGTCCTTTGTATACATGTATGAAAATAGAACAATGAAACCTGTTGAAATAGTTCCAAGAAAGGGGAGGGTGATGAGAGAAAATGATGAACGGGGGTGAATATAATCAATTGTAAGCACATATGTAAATGCCACAATGAAACTCCTCTGTACAACTAATATATGCTAATAAAAATATTTTAAAGAAATATAGACTGGCTGGCTACAGAGCGTCTCTCAGTATATTCGATTGATGTTTCCTTATGACTGCATTAAGATTATGAATTTTGGGGCTGGCAGGGTGGCACAAGTAGTAAGCATGCCTGTGCCCTGAGTTTAACTATCAGTACAAACAAAAAAAAATTATGAATTTTGGGCAGAAAAAGAATCACGAAAGAGTTTTTCTGGTTCATAAGTGGCAAGAATAATACTTAGAGCAGAGAGGGCAATTGATATAATACCATTTTATACCCATTATATTAAATTTTTAAAAATAAAATTATAACACTAAATCAGGTTTGAGTCCTGGAATAGAAAAAGGACATTAATAGAAAATCTGGTAAAACCTGAGTAAAGCCAGAAGTTGAGTTAATAGTAATGTACCTATACAAAATGACAACAGGGGCAGAAACTGGGTGATAGATCGAAAGGAACTTTTGGTACTATCTGCAACTATTCTGTAAATCTAAAATTTATATTAAAAATTATGACCCTCAGTATTGAGAAAGGGTAGGTGAAATAAA